ACTTCCAGAACAGTGACTCTGAGATGTCATGACCTCTCTGATGAACACTCACCATCTTCATTTAACACTCATCGGTTAAATGAAGAGCATGCCACCCTAACTGACAGGGATGTTGGGAAGATTAACTCGAATTAACATAAATAGTATAATCTACACAAGATGAATGATTTTTACTTTCTTCTACCTAAGTTTCTGAAAAATTCATATTTTCAGCAATATTTACTACTTCTATGATAAAGAACAGTAAATATATATCATTATTCTTTTGTATTTCTTCTTTCACTGCTAATACTTTTGTAAAGCTCTGAGTTCAGTGTGGGTTTCTTCATTTTCCTGGATAAAAACTCTTAGAAAGTCAACTCACCACTCCTGAATAAACCATTCCTATCAAGGTCAAATTTCATCTGTCTTGTATTCTTTGTTTCTCTCTCTTCTAATATTTATAGACTTTGAGATGACATCCAGTCTGAATTAGAAGTGGATAAAAACAATTTCTTTCTTAAGCTAGATAGCTGAGAATTAACTTTGGTTACCCTACTTCCAATAACATAGTAATGAATGTTCTCAAACCCTTATAAATGTTTTAAGCACCAATTTGTATTATTAATAACTTAGATTTCTCCCTACATGACATGTGCAGAATAAGAATGAAGTCTGGTATAAAACTTCCAAGGGAATTCAGAATCCTAGAACCCAGAGCCCAAAGGGACCTTTGAACTTGTCAACTGAATTAACTGAAGCCCAGAAAAATCAGAGGTTTGGCCATGATCAGTCAATAAGAAAGAGACTAAGAAGTATTCTTTTGATAGAACTGAGTACCAAAATTATATCATTGTATCAAGTGTCCCAATAAGACAACCCAGAGTGTAACTCTCCAAGAGAGTGAAACTTCTCAACCTTAGCTTCAGTATAACACTTTCAAAATACAGGTTAGTTTCCCCACTACCCTGGTGGTGCATACTTAGTAGGACCCAGGTGGTACTGGGCCATCTGTATTTTGAAAAGTTCTAGAGGTTATTCTAAGGAATACCTAGGGTTGGCAACCACTGAGACAAAGAACAGTATTGCCATGTTCTAGGCTCCTAATCCACATCGTTACCTCCCATGGGCATCCATTTACATAAATTATTTTATCAAAGAGCATTCAAAACTTTCTTAAATAAGAAAATTTTGTTCTCTACAAATCCAAAACTATTTTGAAAAGATTAAGATTTTGTTTCAACAAAATATGTAAGAGAATGTATCAATTACAGAAATTAAAGTTATTTCATGCTCCTTCAATAGGGACAGTGAGTAGCAGCCAAGGAAAGATTTTAAAAATCTATTTATGGCCATGAAGGCTAGCATTGCGATACTGAATTAAACGGGATCAGATTGATTTTAAATAGGAAATTACAGAATGTTTTATAGGTAACTGGCCTCTGATAATAAACTGATTTTAACTTCTTAGCATGTTTCTAGTTTAGTTTTATAGACCTAAATATCATGGAGGAGACAACAAACTGTAGAGATTGCTGTGGGCAGGGCTTTACATTTTGAATGAGTTAACGGTTCTAAGCTATACACTACAGTCAGGTATGTCGTAAGCCATAAATTAAATAGCATCTTCCATTTAAGCATCTTTTGTGTTTATACTTAGCTTCAAAGAACTTAGAATACATTGACACACAAATCACATAGATGCAAGCACAGGTTTACATGCATAGCAACTGCTGTCTGAGGGTTCAAAAAAACCCTCTTATATAACTTTTTATACCTATAAAGGAAAGGGCTAGTTTCTGCCCACCTTACAAGGCAGATGGAAATAAGAAGGTCAATAAATTTTTATGATCGACCCACTAGTGTCTCTGTGAGATATTATTAAAAATTCAATTTTATTGAGATATATTTATATATAATAAATGTACCCATTTTAAATATATATTTTGGAAAATATATACACCTAAGTAACCATCACCACAGTCAACATATAGAATACTTATGCCATTGCAAAAATTCCTCACACCCCTTTGCAATTCAGTCCCCAACTCCAATCCCTGGCAAACACTAATGGGCTTTCTGTCACTATAGCTTAAGTTTTGTCCATTCTAGAATTTCACATAAATAGAATCAATCACACAGCATGTAGTCTTTTCTGTCTGTCTTTTTCTTCACCAACATGTCTTTTGAGATTCACCTGTGTTGCTGCATATACTGGTAGTTTATTTTTTAGACTAATATTGTACTGCATAGATATAAAATAACATTTATTCATTCACATGTAGATGGATATTTGAGTTCTGATTTTTGGTTATAAATAAGACTGTTATGTGGACATATGCTTTTATTTCCCTCAGGTAAATGACTAGGAACAGAGTTGCTGAGTCCAAGAAGTGTATGTGCTTGACTTTATTTAAAAATGCCAAATTTTTTACCAAAGCCGTTATATACATCATATTTACGTTCCTATCAGCGAAGTACGAGAGCTTAAATTGCTCCACATGCTTGTCAGCACTTGGTATTGTCAGCCTTTTTAATTTTAGCCCGTTGCCAAGAAGAAAAGGTAGAAACCAGTGCTTTAAGAATGCCAACCAACAGAATCATGTCAGTACATATCATTTCACTCCATTTAGAAGCCAATGGGGAAGTCCATTGAGAAACACTCAAATTCTCTTCCAAGGCTGGAGATTTTCTCTCTCTCTGTACATAATTACAGCTAAATAACCCTAAGATCATCTTGTTTTCTCCACTCCAGCACCTTTCTCTACAGAGAATATAGAACCCCCCCTGAAAATAATAAGTCTTATGATCAGAGGCCTCTACCTCTCAGATTATAAATTCTGATAGACACTGGGGAAAAAATGTTCACACAAATAAACATTAGTAAAAGACATTGGATATATAAAACACACATGCTTACGTGTATGTTGGCAAGCTTTAAAAGCTATGATAGTCTTCGTTTTAAAAAAAAAAAACTCTTCATGCTGTTTGAAAAGTGGTTAAATATTATTTGCAGATATTGCCTTAATTTGGACAAATTTTGCCTGTTCAAAATGGATAGCTGGTTTTCATCAACCAAACCACAAGAATTGAAAGGCTTGGCCTCCCAGAAAGCGTAGGTTGTTCACACTAATGGCTGGAAGGAGGCTGTCATTCTCAGGTTCTGTTTTCACTTTACAACCTCCCATGTGAGTTGAGCTACAAAGAGGTCATCCTTAGACTGAATATGAGAAAAAGAGAAACTCAAAATCCAGCTGAGTCTTTTAATGAGGCTGCTATTCTCTCTGCCTGGAACACTCTCTGCACCAACACCACCCTCTGTTCAGAACCAGTGAAGCAGCTCTGGGTTCTCCCAACCAGGCCAAATTCTCCACACACATGCTTGCATATCACTATATTTTTCCTTGTTAACCTTTTTACAGTTTATGATTATGTTTATTTTAGTGAGTAACTTATTAATGTTTATGACTCCTTCCCTACCAAACAAAGTAAGTTTTATGAGATTTTCTCATAATTGACCCCCCAGGACTTACAGAGACCAGCACATAAAAAGCACTTAATAAATATTTGAGTAATTAATAAGTTACTTGTTAATTAAAACACTGCCTTACCAGAGGTGTGACTGATATGTCTCTAAGCTTCACATAAAAGTTAGGAAATAAAGGTGGCTGCTTCTTTCTCAATTATAAGAAAAATCAAACTGCAAAAAACTTGGATGTCAAAGTTGCCTGGCCTTCTCCTGCCCCAGTTTCCATGAACTCATCTGCTTAAATGTCAGATCTATTTTATCAACCTGTTCACTCAAAATTCAAATCTGTGCAAAGAATGAAGACTTTCAGAACATAAGATTTTCCTTCATTAAAATGAAACAAAAGAGCAGTTCTCATAGTTTCAGACTTTAAAACTGTAGGTCTTGATAATTCATAAAGGAAATTCAATTATCTAGTAAATCCCATGTCTTCATCTCCTCCAGCAGGGAAAATACTATTTCACTGAGATGAGGCAGTTACGGTCCCCATATTGCTCTCCTAGACTTCATGATCACAAATAGGCCAATGACAGAAAAAATATTCTCACCAAAGGGCTATGTTCTCATTTCATTTTCCACTAAGATATAGTCTTATTATTATCTTTACATGTTCTTTTTGGAAAAGTTATCTCTACTCTCAAATTCTGATAAACTTAAATAATCAGAGGCTTATTTTTTTTTTAAAGCTAAATATGAGTCCAAAAAACAAAAATAAAGTTTTATTCCCAAGCCACCACTGAAGGAAATAAAAAAAGATGAATTAAGGCAAGTCTAACCCTTTCATTGCCCAGAAATATCGGGAACATTACAAATGCCTCAAGTATTCAGATTAGCATTACCCATAACTCCATGGAAAATTTATCCAAGTTTTATCTCAAAAAACTTGGTATAAATCCACAGTAAATCCCACAGATCTCCTACAATCACAAACAGAAAGAGAAAAAAATAATCCAACAAAATTCTGAGCTTAATAGACACAGATGCCTCTTCCTGACAAGGAACAGCTCTCAGGCAAAGCAGTGATCTATGAGCTCAGTCTACTTCCTCACGTTCCATAATGTGTCGATATTTATCTTGAGAAAAGCTAAATTACTGATTATTGGCAACTGTTAAGAAAAAGAAATTCAATGAAACTCAGGCTGCTATCAAAGACAATTATCCAAACACTAGGAATTGTTCTAAAACAAAAATCGCGTCAATGTCCTAGTGAAGGAATTATGGACAAATAACTGTGTCTGCCAAACCCTTTACAGAGGCTCTTAGTGAGTCAGAAAATACATTAAAATCAAACTTCATTTCTTTTCCCATATAAGGCAACCTCAAAAGGAGAGGTGTCACACGTAAGAGTTAGAGAAGAAACAGAAAAACAGGAAAAAGGAGTGGAAGATCAGACGTGTACAGAATCTGGGTATCTGACCCTCTTAGATATCTTAGCATTAACTCTTTTTAAATAGAAGCTTTAAAAATAATATTGATTTCTGGTTTTCATTACCTGACAGGCAGATATAAGTTAAGTATTCGCCTTGACCCCCAGTTGCCAAGAAAGGAATCTTTTTCTTTGTCCTCCTCTTGACTTGGACGGCTCCCAGCATCCTTTCATCGAGAGGTGCAAAAATTTCCTTGCTGATGGCAGATTTGGCACTCATTGTAGAACAATCGAGGAGGGCACAGAGAGAGTTTTCTGAAAAGAAAGAAAAGGCAAGTCGGAATTGACAATATTGTAAGGGCCCACATAAGAATGAGCAGCAAGTTGACATGCAGGTGAAGTAACTTTCAATTTGTGGTTTAGCCGCTTACTTGCTTGAAGTGTATTACAGAATCATTAAAAGCAAGGTCTTGACATTTGTAATAACTATGAAAGCATAGAAACAAAAAAGGAATACCGATTCGCTCGCTGAAAATGTCAAACACAATGTGAGATGAGCAGCACGAACTGGGATCTAGAAAGTTTGCCAGTCTGTACCCCAACTGCACCTACATCAAACTGGCATGCGCTACCCACCTCCATTCCTATCTTGTAAGGAACGTGATTTCAAACTTCCAGTTGACAAGTCTTTCCACCGTCCAAAGTTTTTAAAGTCAAGAAGTTCTTTATGCTCCCTTAAAATCTCCTTTAACTCTAATAATATAAATCTGTTTCCCTAATTCTATTCATAGTGAAAATTATATCATCTTCTATATAATAACTAGACATGCAACAGAAAACCATTAATTTAATCACCCTTCAGCTGCTTTGGATCAGGCTAAGTAATTAATCCTTATTTCTCAGCCTCTTTCAATGGGTCCTATTTTCCAGTGCTCCTCTGCATCTAGTTGCCATGATCTGGACCCTTGACAAATTCTCCACAGTCTCCTTTAGCCAAAGTGGACACAGAATTCTAAAAAAGTGTCTGACTAATGCTAGGTATTTTGGAAATGTTACCCAGCAGTTCCCACATGTTATGCTCCTGTGGCTAACTGGCAGTATGTGCCCAATAATTAAGAAAATAAAGCAGTATGTTGCTGACTCACAGTGAGTCCCCCTTCTTCTCCCCTCCGAGACATTTAAACATACAGTCCTCAGGTTATATTTAGTTTTCCAAAAGTTGTACTTCCGTACTGGTCTTAACTCTGCTCATTTGTATCTATTATATTCAAGGTCAATCTGAATTTTAACTGGAAAAATTCATCCAGAAAGCTCAACAGTAACTTGAGTAAATGTTTTTTTTTTTTTCTCATTTGTCATCCTAGTCATAGTCTGTCTACACCTGAATCAGTAACCAACATTTGTTCAAGCAATTAATAAATCAGAATTAAAGGTGCAGAAGGGCTTATAGGTTGGTCATGTAGGTTAAACAGAGTATTCAGAGATGCTACATGCATATGGATCAATAGTGCAGCTATATGTACATGGTAACAGCAGCTCACAGAGTTGATCAGCCTGCTGTAAAATTGGGCCAACTAGTAAATACCTACCAGGTGCCACCTCTATCCTCAGTATTAGAGATATAAAAAATCATTTAGACACAGTCCCTGCTCTCCAGAAGTTGGCTGCTGACTACATTGAAGGTTTAAGTTAAATCCAGATGATTTATGATGGAAGACCATGGGAACATCCTTCTCAATGCAAGTTTCACAAATGTTACCAACACAAATGTCCACCTGTATCCAGTGCACATCTATAATCTCATGGTAGGAAAGAGATATATTAAAAAAAAAAAAAAATCTCTGGTTAAAGAAATTTCTCCTAGTTTCAGTTCTGTAATAGAACAGATTTTCTTAGTGGCACCAAGAATAATGAATAAAAAATGTTGCTTTTTATTATCTATCTATATCTCTACTACACATCATAGATCTATACCCAGGTCTATCTGAGCTCCGATAATGACATTAAATCATTTATATCAGGTTCTTCATACTGGCTGAGAACGAAATGACATCAGTGTAGAGGGACCTGTTTCTCAATGTGCTGACCATTAACTGATATCCTGTAATTTCCTAGAAGTTAGCACACAGAACTTCCCCCACCATGATTCACCCAATGAGTTTCCTTGGCAGGTATTATAATTGACAGGGACTTTTTTATTAAAAGGGAAACAAATACTAATTCTTTTCCAGTTCCAAGGCCTCTCACCTGTCACCATTTAGGGACATGTGAAAAAGAAAGCCAGTGGCAGCAGAGAGGCCTCAAATATTCTATAAGCAATGTAGAAAAAGTTATATTCCCAAACTTATCAGGCATTCTCTGACCAGCACCTTCCCATCTGTGGCATGGCTTTTTATTTTCCATCTAAGATTCACAGTTTTTGAAAATTGTAGTTAAAGAAATCGAAAGCTATCATTTAATAATGTAAAATCTGTAGAAAAAGAAGGGAGGGGGATATATATGTTTTATTAAACTGTTAGGAAATCTTGTGTTTCTTTTGAAAAACTGATAAGAAATGGAATTGAACTTTTGTTGTTTTTTATGTTGATATTCAGTGACCAAGAACAACAACAATGACAAAAAAGGAAAATAGAATCAGTAACTTAAATGAACGTGGGTTGAAATTTCAGCTCCAAAATTTAAAATCTATACGTGATTGGGTAAATCTCTTAAAATTCTAGAACTTCAGTTTACAAACTGCCACATAGCGCTATCTTCACCTAATTAACAGAATCGTTGAAAAAATTAAATAAAATAGTACATGCAAGTCACTTATTTCTAGTGCCTAAATTATAATTAATGGTTAAAAACTGAACTTATATAAAATGAGTAAATGTAGCCATCCATACCAGAAAGAATTTGTAAAAGAGAAACTCAACTTTATTTACCAAAGCCTTACTTTTCTCATTCTTGAGTATGAAACCCTCTAAACATGGATAAATAGTCTAATGTATGGAAGGCTCTGTACTAAGTGTTATAAGGATGAGGAATTTATAGGCTTCACTTTCAGGAACTCTGTAGTAGGATATTATCTGATTCATTCTTACAAAAAAATTCTCAAAAATTCTTGTTCAAGACAATAATACTGTGAATGAAAAAGAGGCTTCACAGTAGACCTGACAAGCTCAGTGACCAAAAGTAATCACACAGGACAATCTGATCACAAACTCCTAAGTGGGCGGATCATGGTGAGTAGTCATACCCCAGGCCTATACCTACCTTAATAAAAGATTCATCTTTATGTTAAGCAAGCCCTGCCCATTATTCTTATGCATCTAGGATAATATACTTTGAACTGCCAGAATAATCTTTTCTGGACCCCCTAAGAGGTGCAACCACCCTCACAAGAGCAAATGCACCAAACTCCTCATTGTTATTTTGTTGCCTGCATACCATCTCCATTTACTTGTAATTGTTAAATGTCAACTGTCCTATATCCACCAATGTAAAAGAAGTATGTATCTGTCCATTTTGCTTTTTATCTGATCCCAGAAATTCTCTTCCCCACTTTGCTTTCTCCCACCTTCTTAATGCACTACCGATGAGTTTCATGTAACCTTCCTTAACGTTTTCTCCTTGGATTCTAAATGTGTAAAAAGAATCACTAAACTACCATTCTCAAGAACATTTTTTCAATCCATTGAGATCTTGCTCTGGGCACGTCCTCAGTTTGGCTCAAATAAACTGTAATAAACTCATAAAATTTTTCTATAGGTTTGGCTCTTCTTTTGTCGACAATGCTAACAGGCCTGTGAGAAATCATGCAGGTGTGTAGTTTTAATGCCACCCTGGAAATGGGAATGCACAGTGTATTAGAAGGAAAAGACTCAGAGAGTAAAAGGGGCACTATTGGAGCTTTGTGGCAGTAATCTCTAAGAGTGCCCCCCAAACCCGAATGTACCTCTGAATTCAGCATGGAGAGCTTTTAAAAAATGCGGGCTCCTGGACCCTTCCTTCATACCCACAAAACCAGAATCTTGGGATCTATATTTTAAACAACTCTGTAACTCGTTCTCCTGTAGCTACTCTGAAACTGAGTAGCCTGTCTACAGCCATGCCACCCTGAACAAGCTCAAACCCGTCTGATCTTAAAGCTAACCAGGGTCAGGCCTGGTTAGCACTTGGATGGGAGACCACCTAGGAAGACCAGGTGCTGTAGGCGTGAAAAATTTTAAAAAAAAGGATTGTAAACTGACAAGGTCCTTGCAATCTGTGAGGTCAACCAAGGGTTGCCTCACCTAAAATAAATAGATAGATAGATAGATAGATAGATAGATAGATAGATAGATAGATAGAAAGATAAATAAGCAAGCAAGCCAATAGCCTAAAGAACTGTGGGATGGAAAGAAATGTATTCTCAGGAGAGAATACAGAAACAGAATATACAGGATTTTTTCCTCTTGATTCAACCAAGTAGCTTTATCAAGTCTTAAATCTTACTGTTGGTAAATCAATGTCCAGTCCAAGGCTGGGACCCCATTGTAAGGAAACAAGATGAATACAAGAGCAATGATGAACCACTGACCATAGTTTCTCCAACTTATATCACCCTGAAGGGTAGCAGGATATGCCACCCCAAAATACGCCTATATATAGTATATTGATTACTTTGAGCCAAAGGCATGTGAAAAACAGCAAATAAACACAGGAGAAGTCCTTCTCTAAACTCTCCTTTTCTGCCTAAAGACAGATTCTCTGAAAGGAATTCAGTTGTTATAAATCCCCTCTTCAGGAGTTTCATCAATCAGAGAAGACTGACTCTTGTCAATGGAGAGGAGACTAGAAGTTGACACTACACCCAGACTTTGTCACAAACTATCATACCTTCCATCTATTCTTCTAAGGGCCGATTCATCTTCCCTAAAAATCATTGTGTCCCCAAAGAGGCCTAGATCCTCCATCCTCTTTTCCTATTAAGATGGTATTCAATCCTGAAATCTAAGCCACTTCATGAATTGCTTATTTTTCCCTTGGTCTCCCCCATGTATATATTAGGTACACCTGTTAATAAATGTCTGTTTGTTTTTCTCTTGTTAATTTGTTTTTTACCACAGGGGTCTTGGCTATGAACTCAGAAGGGTAGCGGGAAGATTATTCTTCCTCCCCTACAACCCCAGGAAAGATTTCTTTCTTCCTGATCCACAGCTTCTACAGGCTATAATTACAAAGGTTTCCCATCCAAGAAACCAACCTACAGTATGATTTGCAAGTCAAAGCAGCCTTAAGTGGTATTTGTAAAAACTAATTGCAGTGAGTTTTAATCTTTCTCAAGCCTC